TGCTGCATTGTCTCGTCCCCAGCCGTAGTTATCCCGCAGGATCTCCTCGAACATGGCCAATTCCCGCTTAATACCAATAAGGGCATTGATCAGTGTGTCCGCAATCCGCCATTCGAGGGTCGATTCACGGTCGGAAACTGTGGGAATTGATACTTTCCCCAGCAGACCTCCGATGAAGGAGACGTAGCTGAGAGCGTAGAGGCGGTCCTGCTCGAGCCAAGCGAGCTGTGCATCAGCGGGGAGCTTGCCCTGGCCGATAAGGCGAAGCCATGGGTGCTGTGTTGCAGCCTCGAATGCGGTCTTATCCAGCGCCAGCAGCTCATCCGTGAAGCGTGCACCCATTGTGTCTTGCAAATGTCGTATGGTAAAACAACTGCTTTTCCGTCTGACAAGCTTCTCACCAAATAATCCACCTTTACTTGAGCTAGCCTGACAAGCCACACAGCATGACAGCTGACAGCTGAACACTGTCGGTGCTTGGACTTGGACCCTTGTGCAGGTGGGGCCTAATTCTGGCCAATTGACCCCGGCTTCGGTCCTTTCTTATGGCGTGCTCCACGCCGCAATCGTTACACAACTTCTGTCCATGCCCATGGAAATCTCTATACAATGTTAGTCGATACCGAGCACCTCGGAACGACGTCAAATACAAGGCGCCATGTGTCGATTCTTGGTGAGTCTGCTTAGGCTAAAGCCGCGTACCTTACACTGATGGTCTATCAGGTCTTCACCTCGCCGACCCCTTACCTTCTGTCGAACCTGATCCTAGATCCTCGCCATTCCATTTTGACCCAGTCGTATGACTCACGACTTCGGCTTGACATGCGCCGACCTCATAACGGTGATGGCTTCGGAGTAGGCTATTACACGCCCCCATCACTACTGGGCCTACTAGGACCACAACCATGTATCTTCACCTCTACCATTCCAGCATGGAATTGCACCAATCTCGAGCGCCTAGCGAGCAAGACAGTCAGCCCCTTGGTATTCGCCCACGTCAGAGCCAGTACCGAGGGTGCTCTCGCCGAGCCTAATTGTCACCCCTTTGTAAGAGGCACGGTCATGTGGATGCACAATGGAGGCATCGGCTGCTGGAAAGATGGCGTCAAGAGATTGTTGGTCAGCGACGTGGCAGACAAATGGTTCAACATGGTCAAAGGGAGCACGGACAGCGAATGGGCCTTTGCCTTGTTCCTCGATACCCTACAAAAACTGGGTGTCGATGTGGACGAGCTCGAGCACAACGGCGGTCACGTCGGCGTCGGACCTACCTTGCTGAGGAAGGCAATGACCGGGACGATCGAGAGGATCAACGGCTATATCAGGACGCTAAAAGACAGAGGTGTCAAAGTCGAAAGTAGCTTGCTGAACTTTGCCGTGACCGATGGCAAAAGTGTGGTCTGCACCAGGTATGTGGGTAGCAGGACCGACGAAGCCGCAAGCCTGTTCTTCAGCAGCGGAAGCAGCTGGGTCAAAGGTGCAGATGGAAACACAGGTGACTACAGAATGGAAAGGAGAGACCGTGGTGCGGATATTGTTGTAGTGGCTAGCGAGCCTCTGACCTTCGAGAGGGGTAGGTCCTGACAGTCGGGAGATTGGCAGAAAGTGACTGACAAAGATCAGACAATTGGGTCACCGTCCCGACGAACAGCACGATTACTATACACAACCAGACGGTGCTGATTCATCCTATACTGGATGAGTACTATGTGGCGTCTCCCTCCTTCCAACGCTCATCCACCTTCGCGCAGGCAAAAGGCCAGATCACTACTGAGATGGCTACGGCACAGGCACAAATTAAGGGCCCCCGAGAGAATACAGGTGATGCCCTGGTTTCGGCTCTAGGTGAACTACAAACGAGTGCTGCGTAGTGCCCCTGCAATGTCGGCTCTTGTCGATCCAACACCACCACATCGGTGGCTCCATCCCCACATCATGTCGCGGTTCTCCTCAGAGACTTCTTTCTGCTACACGCGCATCGTTGCCGCCACACACACCGGACGGTGGTCAATTTTGGTGAAGGCATTGCTAGTTCGGCATTGGCATTGCCTTTTCGGAGCTCTGCCGAGCTGATTGTCAGACAAGCCAACACGCATGATACTTCTACCTTAAAGAGAAGGCGAACCAATTCCTGTCTACGAGATGGCGCGTGTAATGCTGCAAGCACTTCTCGGTCTGTAGCGTTATTCTCTGGTAGATTGGCTGTCTGCTACACCTTTTGCCTTCAATCACCGTAATGCGCACCAAACACCAAACTCTTCGCAAACCCATCTCTCAATGTTGCGGCTATTTAGATATTTTAATATATGATGATATGACTCAATCACTCGTGGCTTCCCCAATGCGTTCAGCGTGACCAACGGGTGTCAAGTTACGGTTTGGTGTGACGTCACACCAACGATGCAGATGGAACGCTTTGCAGAATACCGGAAACCAGAAGCAACGGCGATTGAGAAAGATATATCTGGTCGTCCCTCTCATTGAAGTGTGATGTACTGCAGCACAGCACTCGCACACTCGTCAGCATTCCGATAGTATGGGTACCGCAGGTACACTCGGCCCGCACCCTGCAGCCGACAGCCACATGCAGCGTCTTCCGCCAACCTTTGGCTTCATTCCCACCCAACATCTGTTCGCCGCCGTCACTGTTGCCCTCCTCGCTGTCTTCCAATGGCCACTGCGATGGATGCTCTCAGGCGCTCCCCTCTTGACCTACGCTCTTCTCATAGGCGCAGCAAACGGAGACCGTGTCTTACGCTCTGTTCCTCTTTGGACTTTGGCTGCACTCATTAATCTATCCTACTCGGTTGCAGCCACCTCATGGCTTCTCTACTGGGCTTATCTTACTGCCTGCTATCCCGCCATCTTTTTGGTTTGCCTCTTCCAGTTCTCTTCGGTCTCGGGCTTCACGCGAAGGAAGCTGCGAACGGTGCTTCGAGGATTGCAACTTACTAATGATACGATTGCCTTCTTTGACTTACCAGCCCTAGAGATCGACGTTGACGTCGAGGGTCTCATGTGTATTCGTGGCATGTCATTCTCTTTCAGCTCCTTGACTATAATCGCTTATGGTGTCGAGGTCGGCATCAAACTGAGCGACGACATGGAGATTGCGTTGGTGACCGACAAGGTCACAATCAAACTGTTTCGGAGAATAGACGTCAGCGATGTCTATGGCAATGTCAAAGGAGGGCTGTATGAGGTGAGAACAACCAAGTCATTCTAAGTACTTTGTGTATTGATGCTTCTGTATAGATGACCTTCGGCAAGCTTGCTAAGAAGACTCGCAATGAAAAAGGGGAGTCATTGATGGTCGAGAACACACCATTGCTCGAAGCGGCTGCCGCTACTGGAGATACTCGGAGGCGGCCAGGCATGATGCCACGGATGCAGACTTTGACGGAGCATATGACAGCGGGAAAAACCATTGAAGACTCCTCCATCAGGGGTGGATTTGAGTCGATTCGCCAGATTTCACCGGATGATGACAAAGCTAGTAAGGAGTTCAGACGACTGATTACTTGGATCGAAGAGACGAGCTCAATAACGACAAGTCGCAACGAAGCTGAGGAAGCTCTCAAGGACAAAGACGATGACCCTACCAGGATACTGGACAATACGAATAACATACGGGCCGCGATTTGCAGCCAGCTTCATGACAAACCCACAATACCGCATCCTGCTAAGAAGTCTATTAAGGTTTCAACCTTGCAGCATCTATCGCCACCACACGTCAGAAGCTTCCTCCATCGATTTCCCCTGCTGCTTCGCTGCCTATTGAATCCGATCGCCTACTTCCATCCGGTCTACATTGAGTCAATCACTGCGGGTGGCTCGGGTCGGTTCTTGCAACATATCTTGCAGGAAAAGGTATTCCCTACTGACACTGAAACTGGCATCAAGAATTTGAAGCAGCGCATTTCAGCTTGGCTGTCCGATGCAAACTTTGTTTTTCAGGTTGTCGATGTTATTGGAATGTCATCTGTACCCATCACTACAGCCTATGACATCGTCAACAATCTCACCTTCGACGATGTAATGGCCTATCGGACATTGCCGCGAGAGGTAGATTTGACGCAGATTGTACGACTTGGAGGCGCCGATGCCCGGATCGCAGTTCCGTCGTTCCTCCTTCCGCATCATGAGCATCTTCTCCCTCCACCGCCAACAGAAGAGACTGAGGGTGATCTCAAGGAAGAGGTTGAGCAAGCCGATGGCAAGCCGAAAACGGTTCAGAAGGAGCGGGAGCTTGTCAAGAAGATGAAAGACGAGGCCAACATCAGTATCAGTGCCCATGTGCGACTCCCTGCTTGCTTCGACCAATCCCTGCTAGACTTCATCGCCGCTTTAGTCAAAGCCACCAAAATCATTGAGATGGAGAAGGATGACCCTGTGGAGAAAGAAACCAGTGGCTTTAGACAATTGGCTAAGGGGTTTGGCGCGGATATGAGGGACAGTATACGCCGTGTAGCCATTGACGCTGCGACAAACGACAGGTGGATTGCCAAACTGGTCGGCAAAGTCACCAAGAACTTGGAAACCGCGATGGGCGACGTTGGTTACAGCGGTGATATCCCAGTACCTCTTGAGATCTATCGTCAGAAAGCAGAGTCGCTGTCGAAGTTGATGGCATAGAGGATCGAGCGGCATTGACACATGAACCAGTCATCAAGGCATGCCGTCGTTGTAGTCGCTGGTAGCGTGTATATAATTTTCATATAATAGCACAAACATACTCAGCTATGCAGGAATGGTACATCGTGCCCTTCAGACTTCCGTCTCGCCTTAGTAAAATGCGCTGCGTCGCAAAGAAAGTGAATGGTCTGAATGATCGTGAGAAGGGTAGGGGTTAGCGGAGTTGTCACTACCTACCTGTCACACCCGCACTGTCGAAAAATGTTGGAACCCAAATTCGGGCTGCAAACTTTCAGACATCACAAGTGAGCATGTTCACAACGATTTGGTCAGAGATGATGGGCGAGAAAAAGGACAAAAAAGTTTGACTCGGGCGAGGATCGAACTCGCGACCTTTTCGGACCTCGTACATCAGGATGCACTTGAAGTGACGGTTTACAATGAGCTGTAAACGAAACGTGATAACCACTACACCACCAAGCCAAATCAGGAAATTTCAAAATCTTAGCCAGAATATATAGCAATCAAAATACACATACGTTGATAAGAACCGCGATGAACAAATTAAATGTCGACGCGGGCGACAATGACTGCGGACGTCGAACAGGGCAAGCATGACTCGTCTGGTTTCCGGTCAACAAACTCGGAACCCGCCTCCCCATTAACGATTGACTAGCCGAGTCGTCCCCGACCGCAGCCCTGCAGAAAGGGGGCGACAGCCAAGCCGCACTACCAGCCGCCACCAAGAACGACTTCTCAGGGGGGTCCAAAACACGCGGCTTCCATGCGTGGCTTTTTTCCGCTCGAACTACACCTTAGTTTGCCTGTTGCTCGTTGGACCCTGTCCCGGTGCTGTCGCCGGTAGGGGTATATAGACTACGGATATAAATGTTTGTACGATTGCGTAGATAGTGGCTTGGCGGGGTATGCTCCGGCAACTAGGTGGAATGCTCGGCGGTGTGCCGGGCCCGAGGGCGTGATGGTGATAAGATCCTTGTTGTCGGGGTTGCGTGGTGGGTTTTGTTTACGGTCGAGAGCAGGAGGACAGAGTGTAACAGGAAGTGGGCGACAGGCATGAGTGCTACTTTTATCATTGATTGAGTTCTATCTACGTCTCGGACCAAGTATAGTCAAAAGTGTTATGTACATGAGAAAGTGAAATTGCGGCGATGCAATGAAAAGGTATTTGTGATATGCTTTTCATGGAATTTCCTCCATAGTTGGGGGATACCCAAAGCAGCATATGCAAGCAAAAAAGACTCCGAAAGACACATCGTTCTCAACACTTGATGGCGATAGTCATGCTGCGCTTGCTCTATATTCCTTTTGATGATCCTGGGCGAAAGGCATGCCCCGCAATGAGGGCGCGTTGACCTGCACGCGCCGCCTCATTCAGATTTAGACCAATTTATGTGAAGCTGGTATATGTTCCAGTTGCGAAGATGAGAGAGATTCAATGTGTCGGATCTATGAAGCCCATCCCCAGTGGACATCAAGCGACTCCGGGTGTACCCACGAGTTCCACCCAGGTTGTTGCCAAAAGTTGTTTGGCAGGTTGAGATGGCCAGAGGCGGTACGCTGCGTGCACCCAGGATTGGGCTCAAGGCTTTGAGGCGAGGCGGTAGTTGTGCTTGCTGAGCAGTCAAAGGTGTCAGGGCGCTGAATGGACAGCCATGTTTCGCCGAACTGGAAACTGACACCACCATAGATGAAAGTGGTCTTCTGGTCGTCGCAGGTAGCGAAGCCACTCATGGGCAGGCTAGTCTTGCAGTTGGTGGTGTATTGGGTGTTTGGGTCCATGAAGGTGAACGACAGAGAGGCCTCCTCGAAAGGTTGTTCTCGCATAGAGAATATCAGCCATGGTTTCAGCGACTCCTGCTCTTGGACCTGGGATGTAGCAGCCGACTCAGATTTAATGACAGGATGAGCCGTGACGAAAGAAGCAGCAGCGAGGAGGGCTGAAACAGCTGTGGTGAACCTCATGTCTGCGGTTGTGCGACGAAGGGCGAGGGGAGTCCAAAGTGTTGTTATATCTGGTGATTTCCCGAAGAGCGAGTGACCAAAGCCCGTCAATTAGGATCTGTATTGTCTTAAAATGCACGAATGCAAACAGCAGCAACCGATATCCGGTGGGCTGGGGATCCGACGGGCCGACTAACGAATGTGGTGACGACGAACGGTGGATATGGTGGTTGGGTGGGAAAGGCAAAGTCGAAAAGCAAGTCAAAGTCTCTACGTGCCAGACGCAGAATGACGGACACGCGAGAAGGCGACTGCGAGAGAGCGACGAAAAGCACCAAGGACGGCGGGCGGTAGTAAAGAGGATAAAGAGTCAAACGGTCGAAAGGGAGACAGGTGGAAGAAGAACAGATGACGAGGACAAGCACAGGGATAGAGAGTCAGGTACAAGGTTCCACGCTCGTTGTTTGGCATCTGGTTGCTCCCACGCCGTCGCCGATTCTTATTTGTGCCTGTGGGTCTGCGCCGGATGGCCTTTCTGAAACGGCCCACCCACCCAATAGCCGCCGGACTTGGGCAATTGCTGGGCAAAAATCGGCAAGAATTCTGCCGCCGTCTGCCCCACCAACCCCCCGAGTCCCCAATCGAACGCCGTTGTACACGTCTGAGCATGGAAGCGCCGTCGGAGTACAGCCTCCCACGCCCCTGCATCGCCGTGCATCTGGACAAGGCATCTGATATATCCAGCCCCAGCCACGGCTTCGCGGCACGGATGTGCAACATCATCCGCATCACTGCAGTCGATAGTGGTGATAGCAACTGTCTGTAGCGGGCGGATCTGCATCCAAGGGTAGCTTCAGGCCCGACGTTGGGGGTAGATCCGTGCTGTTCTGATAACCTACTCTGGTCCTCACGAGCCACTCGCAATTAAACACATCTGGACTTGTCTTCTCAGATAAGACATCACCATGCTCAGCCAAATGTTACGTCCGACCTCGACCGGCAATTGCAAATGTGTTCAGTCGTACCTGACACTGCACATGTCCCGCGCTCCTCCTCCAGAAGTGATCGTCACATGGCATATTATCCCTAGCAATGATGCTACAAGAACGCGCAAGCCCGGAGTAGGCCACCAGTGAGCCTGCTGTGATTTGGCTCGTGGTCCAATGGCTCTCGGGAGGCATCTGTGCGGTCAGGGCCGTGGATCCTCCGGCGATCCTTCACCGTGCCGCTCATTTCTTCTCGAAGATATTTCCCTATAGCACGAATTTCGCTTGGTAGATATTGCCTCAACATGGGCGGCTTAGATTATTAAATCCAATTGCTCGCTCGTTCGGGCAGGTGCTTCGGGTGCAGTGGCTCTCATCTATCGCTCAAGCAGCCCGCGACTTGCAGGAGACTGGCTAGGTCAATCTGAAACGCAGAGTACTTCCTCGACCTGCCTCTCCAGACGATACCCTGGCTCGTTGCCCACCAGACTCACAGATCCTGAAACACCACATTTGACAGATCCTACGTCTTCCTCACCCGGATACCTACTTCCCGTGCACCTCTCGAACATGGTCAGGACAAAGCTTCCACTATATCCGCTCTATATCACCAACGGCGCACTGCCGCTACGAGATATGTAATGAACCTTTGGCCACTCTAATTTGGTCACACTTGGGGAAACTCAATGACGCCTTCTGTGACCCACAACCTCTCGTTTCCCATTTCTATGACGGAGAATTCGTCATCAGTCCTCGCCATATAAGTCTGCCATGTAGTCATCGTTGGGAGTGCACCCTCGCAGTAGCGTCACTGGGTTGCAAGGTTCTGAGGTATAGCCCTCTGTCCTTACTGACTTCATCTCCCGCATGTACCAGAAATAGGCTTCGACCGATAGTTGGCTCCTGTGCTCTATTTCTGCGGGTCCGCTACTCTGATGGTCATGAATCCCGTTGACAAGCAAAGTTGTTGTCTTCATGTACAAGAAGTCGTATTGCGTGCGACGCTCGACATCGTCTCATGCACGGTGATCAGCGAACAGCAGGACTCTTGAGCCAGAAGGTGGAATGAGCACGTCAAAGTGACCAGGAAAGTTACGTCCTCATAGTCACTTTCGATAGTTTCATGCAGCGGTGCTGGCCCATCCAGTCTTGCCCGTAGTAGTCTGTGAACGCTGCAGTCATTACACAAAGCTAGCGCAGCGCAATTTACGACCAGGTTCACAGATGAGCAGGTAATTTGAAGTCGCAGTAACTCAAAAATTACAGGTTATGCAAGGTCAAGATCAACATCTGATACTTACTTTGCTTCAAGGTTCGGAGTAAATATTGGGTCAACCACTTAGCGGAGTCCAACTCCGGCATATTGGCCTGTCTCCTGTCTCCACTCCCTCGCTGAGGACGCCTCGATATGGAAATATCAATATTGGAGCGCTTGTGAGCGCCAATACATTTCAATGGAGCAGTCTTCACACGACTGTTTGGGCAAGACTCGAGCCGTTAAGGCTTCTCGAAGGGTCGTCAGCGTCTAACATTTTCAGAGGCTACCCCTTTTGGTTGCAGGTACTTCACATACCCAGACTCTACAAATGCGCACTCGATGCACCAAGTGCTGGAGTCAACTCAATTGATCAACGAAAGGCTTTTTCGGCATTCAATAATGTCGTAACATGAACCTCGTATATTATCTTCCCGAACAAATTTTGATCAAAAAGTGGTGTAAAAAAAGTGGTTAAGAAGTGGTTAAGAAGTGGTTAAGAAGTGGTTGGAAGGTGGTTAGGGTTCGTTAAAAGTCGTCTATCAATCGCTACTTAAACTGCTCAGAGTAGGCGACCGCCGTTCAAGGGCGACAATACTTGGTCGACTTTTCTAGTCTTGCTAGTCCATACACCTGGAAACGTAGAAGGAAGAATCGAACTTCAATATATTTTTAAAGTCCCAAAAGAATCTAAATGCTGTATAATGTTGGGACTACCAAAGTAGAGAGCTACAGTCAATCGCCGAGAATTGCTGGCAAAGGGAGAAAGGCTGCGGTCGACAGTCTAGCATTGCACTATAGACCTAGAGGGTATGAATAACATACGAGTCGCGTTAAGCGAAATTCAAATTTGTCGTGAATTTCCTAGCAAGACGGTCCATCATCTTGTTCATGAGCGAATAATCTGTCTGGGGGCGTCGGATGAACGATGCGTGACTCAAGTCGGGGATTTTGTCCGGTGCCGGAGAGCGATTTCGCATCACCATGGGCAAGCATCTGGACTTTCATACCGATCAGATCAGCAAAACAATGTCATTGACCAACGCATCGCCGGAGGAGGCAGCTCGTGCCGCCCGTCTTTCTTCTCGCCGCCTGGCAATACTTCCTGTCAAGGCCAGGAATGAGGCTTTAGATGCGGTCCACGATGCGCTTGCCGCCGCCCGAGATCAGGTGCTCGAGGCAAACGCTCGCGACCTTGAAGCGGCCTCCAAATCCGCGGCGGACGGAACTTTGAGCCAAAGTATCGTCAAGCGACTCGATCTATCGCGGACGGGCAAGTA